TGTTGTTATTATTATTATTATTACGTATCGTACATAACTTAATTATTGGAATAACGCAGAAATTTGTAATCAGCATCTCGGTTTTTTAATTTTCCCTTTTTTCTTTCTTTCTTTCTTTCTAGATCATACTTTGCTAGAAGAATTTGTCGAACAAGCAGCGGTTGTTATAGATTTTAATTATTTTCCTTTCTTTTTTTTTTTCTTTTCCCCCTTCTTTCCTACGAAGAGAGATCATCATTGGACAATTTTTTTTTTGTTAATTTTTATAAGCGGCGTTTGATTCTATACTCCGGATGATTTTAAAAGGAATTCGTATTTTCTTCTTTTCTTTTGTTAATGTTTTTTTCTTTTTATTCTTGTTTTTTTTTTTTTTTTATTGCGGAGGAAAATATGAAAAAATAAGCCCTTGATCTCGTCAGGTTACTGAATATTACTTCTTGTTCAAAATTGTTCATTCATCGAGAATCTCTCCTTTTCATTTCGTTCATCTTTTCTCTTTCCATTTGTTCTTTTTTTTTTCTTCTTCGATTCTTCATAAAGATATTTTGTTCATTTTTTTTTTTTTTTTTTTTATACGTGTAACCATTTTTATTTGAATTTTGATTCACATCGATATTAAAAATCCTATCGTGTCCTTTTAATCACGAATTAATAAAGTTTATGTAATCATCGCAACAACAATCATTGTTTTTGTATGTGTATACGTGTATATATTAAAACTTATATTTATGTTTACTATTTATTCCTTTTCTAAAAAGAAATTCTCTCGTGTATCAATTCGAAACAATTTTTTTCGTGCTTTTTATTTTTTATTTCTTTTTTTTTTTGTTTTAATTTTGTTTTTGTTCGTCAATCCTTCAAGTATCTTCAAGCGATTTGATTAGACTCTGGATTAGGAGTGTTAATGAGAAATAGAAAAAAATAATTAAGAATGATATTATATAAAATTATTTAAATATAACTTCGTTTTTGTTCGGTTTTGTTTAAAAATATATTGAATTTGAATATTATTTAATTTCTTATTCATACGAATCACATTGAGAAATCAATAATGTAATTTTTCTTCTT